TGATTTTATATCAGTTAAAAAAAGCAATTACGTGTTTTTAATAAGTCGTTGAGGTTAAATATTTATAATATGAATGTTGATGGCCGTGAAAACAATACTTGCAGATCATTAAATTGGCAATATTTTAAGCCGTAATAGAATAAAATATCGTGCCAAATCAGTTGTACGATTCTAAATGGATTGAGAATTAAACACCGAGTAGTGTACATCGGCAGGGGCGGTCAGTTAAAAACTGGTGCGAATACAAATATCTGCCGAGGGCATTAAAGTCTACGCGAAACGTAAGTCAGATAGTAGACACTCGCAGTGGAGTGTTCACACAAGGAAACCAGACGGATTGATTTTCGAGTCGTTTCTTAGCACCGAATAGGTCACGGGTTGAATTTTACAACTACCCTAGTACACACTACCAAGTATTATTATTATTTTATTATTATTATTATAAAAATAAGGCACTGCCGCCGTATCGTATGACATCCATGTGGAAAGTAACACATGGCCAACAGATTTTTGGGACATTTTTATACGCGCTGTCCGACCGGTGCGCATTAACAGCATTAAAGTGCAAAATACAAGCCAGACAGACTGATATTCGGCACCCCTCTTTTATATTAATATGAGTGTTGTTCGCTTATAATTAACTCCTGTGTTTAGGGCGCGATATAAAATCCCGTGCAGGACATGTGTGAGTACTCGCCCCCTTTTTTTCGGGTTTACAGAGTGATCGCCGTGGTTTCCACCCCTCCGGATCTAAACGGGAAATAATCCAGACACTAAACGGTTGGTTTCGCAGAGTCATCCAATTTATATCCCGTCGGATTTTATTAACAAACTACTCTACACGTGTAGACACCGATTGAAGGCAAACTTTTTATTATTAAAAATTGGTTTTGTTTCGGACAATCTAAAAGACCAATGGCGTTAAGTGTACAGCATTGTGCATTGTACGCGGCACATGGTTTTTTATTTTATTTTTCGTATTACATCAAATTTATCACTTAATTTTTATAAAATACAATTGATGCAATTTTCGGAACCCCTCTGTATGTCACCCAATAAGGATTGCCGAATAACTTTGCTCCGCGTTTTGTGATACCATATCCTCATTAGAGACGAAAATGAGACCCGTTGTTTCCGGCAGATTTCTATAATATCCATTTTTGTGACTTTACCCAGTACATTCGGAATGTGTTAAATAATATGTGTTGGGTTGGGTGTGTCGGTTTTTAGAATTATTTTTTTTTTTTTATCGTAATAGAAATTAGATAACATGCCAATTGATTTAAAAGTATGATCATTTCACGATTATCGAATACGGGTCTGTATAAAAACGTCCAAGTAAAAAATATTCAATTTATATTTAAATTATACTTGTTTATGTTGTTTTAATAATNGAGTAAAAAATATTCAATTTATATTAAAATTATACTTGTTTATGTTGTTTTAATAATAATTGTCAATATTGAAAAACGATTGTATAAATTTTATCATAAAAAGTTAGCTAGGGCTTTCAAAAATTAATTACGTACCTTATTTTCTAAGTACTCATTGTACAATTTTTTTTTAGCTTTACTTGACGATCAGCATACTTTGATATTTTGCGAAATAGACTCAATGTTCCCAAACTCCTTTGAGCAATGCGCGAGTCTAATTTTGTGCAACGTTATGTAATTTTTTGTTTTTTTTATTCATGTTTTTGGACATACATATAGCCATTTTAAACTAATTTTTGTTCAACATTATTTGAACTTAGTAACTTCATGGTTAACATGTGTTACTCGGAACGATTGCGGTTCAACTAACTAGTCTAATTCAACATGTAACTAGTGTCAAGTAGAACTTTAACCTTTTTAGGAACAGGAAGTGTGTGCAAACTATACACAATTTTTACTTATTCCTAACTATTCTAAATTTGGATACTGCGTACTCGGATATTTTTTTTATTCGATATTTGGACTTTGTATATTTTGATCAAAGACCATCCTAAATATCATCTTTTGATATATCAAAATTATTTTGAAAAATATATTATGTCGCTTAAGAAAATGTTCAAAACTAGTAGTTTTGTTGATGTGCCTAAAGTGTTCAGCTTGCAAATCAACATTTTTTTAAGAGTTGACATAATTTTATAATTTAAACTATTACCTGGATAGTTTGGTAAATGAGTAAAATTAATAATAAATCCCTACGCTGTAACGTCAAATACATTAAAATTTTTCTTGTTGGGTTTTTTTTTAGATAAATATTATGTGAAATTAGCTTTAATAGCGTCTACATTAATTAATATTATTATTATTTCTATTGTCGCGAGGACAGAAATTATCAATTTACTATTGACCTCACACAGTCCATTAAAAGCAAATCGATAATATTTGTCATGATAATATTATAATATGCTATTTCACAACGATATATAACCTATTTCAGTAGCTGTATAAATGTGTTATTTTGATTACAAAGTTAAATGTTATTCAGAGTTATTAAGTGCTTACAGTAGGCCCCGGGCGTTTTCAAATCAAACAATAATACATCTATTATGCCCGAAGAGTGAAAATTAATTTTTGATGCGGAAATTTCAACAAATATTTATAACATTGTCTTAATATTCATTTGCTTATTGTGTTGGTCACGCGATAGCTAAAAACAAATCGGGACACTTAACTAAAACTATTCCATAACAAGTTTTGGTTTTTCCCTTTATTTCTAGAAATCAGTTTGATTTTTTTACAGAGCTTGGTGTGATAATAACATGTATTATAAAAAGCAAACTAGTAATTTTATTGCTTGTTTTCCTCTTAAAAAGATACCAAAATAATATCATATTTATTGTACCACGTGACACGCAGGGTCTGTCCACCCCAATCTAAACTTCGGATAATAACTGACTTCGGTCGAAGAATATCTTCAAGCCTCGGCGTAGAAAATAAAATAACTCGGTGTCTTTTACGGTTGTTCGTCAAAAATAACATACCACAATAATATGTTAATATTATTGATATTACACAAAACACATAGTATTAATGATAATAATACATGCATGTATAAAAAAGCACACCGCAAGTAAATCACCGGCTAAACAGTAGGAATAATAGTTGAAGAGGCGGTAGTCGAGGCATGCGATACCAACACTTATATGTACACACAATACACGACTTAATGATCCACAAGAGGCCTAGCCCTTCGTTTGTACAACTCCAGTTGGACATTCGAAACAATCAGTGACTATAATAACAACGACTGATTTATTAAATATTAACCCGATGTAGTTATGATATTTTTCTTTTGTGTACTTATATTTGTCATTTATGCTAACAATTTAACTGGAAATATTTTTTTAGTTTTTAACTAAAACTCTAGTTACTGTTTAATATAATATATTTCATTATTCAAACTCATAACTTCTATGATATTATACATCAACAAAGATAAATATACAGAGTGATCGATTTATCATAAACCACTCGATTACTCGCAAAATAAATACTTTCTTTTCATCATTATTATTATTGTTTTAATTCTTTATTTACATTATTTATTTATTAATTTAACACACATTTTTGTTAAGGAAATACAAATTCTACCAAGCTAACAAAAATATTGATTTAGATAACGAAAAAAAATAAATTTTGGCTATATTTTTTTTTAAATTTACTAATCAGGTATATTTGAAGAATTAATATAAAAATTTAAATACCTTTCAAATATACCATAAAACTTATTAAAAATATTTCATAACATTGAAAATATATAAATAAATTGAGGATTATAATAAAATAAGTTTCATTTAAAACATATTAAGGTCATGTGTATTGTATTTAACTTCAATGCCAACCCGATAGTTATTGATTTTACTACGATATATTATTTTTATTTATTTTATTATTAAAAATGTAAGTAAGGACCTGAAGTGTGGAGTGCGTTCTGTTGTTTTACCACTAGTCGTTTTCTTAATTAATTTGTTTTCTATTTTAAAGGTAGTTTAATATATATGATGTATTTTAAACAATTAAGTTAGTACTCTTTAAAGTTATGAGGGATGATTAAAAATAGTGATTATTAACTGATAAATCAAAAAATATACATAATTAAAAAAACTAAACATTTTTTTTTTTATTATTGTGTTTATTTTGCGAATAATCAAATAGCTTTTGATAATTATTATAATATTAACTTCAAAATAACAATATTACTAATATTTTTTTTCTTTAAATGTTCAGCATAATTAAGTTAATTTAAAAGCTATATCAATTTTAATTTTCGTGAAATTCATAAATGTTCTTGCATTTATTTATATTCTAAGTTTTTTAAGCTAGACATTTTCTCGAGGTGAGCTAAAAAAAAATTTTTTTTTTTGCAAACAATTTTAGAACAGTATAAAATACAAACTGTCCGGGGGAGCTAAAACTCTTAATAAACTACTGATTAGTTCTACCATTTCGTCGAATCGCAACTCATTATTTTTTCTTTTTCATTTACCCTTTTTTAATGATTCATATGATATAGCTATAAACCAAGTAATTTTTTTCTATTAATATTTATTATGTATTACAAACGTCCTTTGTTATTGACTTACTCACAGGAATGGCAAGGGTTGGTCAAATGAAGAGTTTTAAGTGATTACTTTAATTTGGTATTATATACACGATGATATTAGTCTGTGTACATTCGACATGACCAATAATTATAAGTCGTAAAAAGTAGTTGGAATAACGTAGAAAAATTATCTATGGGTTCCACCCTAAATGAAAGTTGATGTTAGGGAAGCAGTCTTTTATTGATATTTTCATTACCGTCTGCGAAATCCCACAACATCCTCATTGTCGGTATTTTTTTCTTAAAAAGTAATTATCTGTGAGCAAAATAAAAAAAAAATAATTTATAATAACAAAAATTATACTTTATAGAATATTATGGTTTTGAACTCGTTATTTAATAACATTTATTTAACGATATGAATGCATTTGTTTCACATTTTTACATACTTGTTTCTCTTTTTTTAGGTACACCTATAAGTCGTCTGCCGATAATGGCCAAACGCGTGCTTGATTTGTATACCTTATACAAACTAGTTGTCCAAAGGGGTGGAATAGTAGCGGTTATTACTAAAAAGTTGTGGCAAGAAATCATTCGTGGTTTGGGGTTACCGCCTTCAATTACAAGTGCAGCGTTCACACTACGAACACAGTAATTTTTTCCACATATTATGTATTAATAAAAGAAATCGCGCTAAAATTAATTAAATATGAAATTAGAACTATTGTGACTCAATGAATGATTTCAGGTATGTCAAGTACTTGTACGCTTACGAGTCTAGAATGAATCAGTTTAGTACACTGGAAGAGTTGAACATGGCTATTGCTGGAAATAGGAGAGAAGGCAGACGAAACAAGTCGCTTATGTACTCCGACATGCCACCTCCGCCTCCTGGTCACCATCCTCATCATATGCATCCTAGTACGCCGACATCAGGTCACCATCATCAGCATCCACAGCACCACTATGCCAATGTGCTAGCCGTCGATGACCGGTTTAGGCACTTAGCCGCAGCTATTATCGACAATCACAACCATGCTGCAGCAGCAGCAGCGGCGGCGGCCGCGGCCGCTGCAGCAGTGGCTACTTCTGAAGCAGGTTCTTCAGCCGCGGACCTGCACTCGAAATTGAGGAAACCTCTTAGTCCACAGTCTCAAGATTGTAAAACTTCAATACTGCCAATGCAACAAGTGCAACAAGTGCCACAACCGTCACTCCCGCCGTCATCGACCATCGCCAACGCAATGACACCGCCGTCGTTGTTTAACGGACACCACAATTCATTTCAACACCATTCGCAGCAACCACAACAGCAACAATTGTCAACCGTTCCTAGTTCTTTGCAGTCTACTGCTGAGCAAACCAATAAACAAAGAGGTTAGTTGCATTGATTAAATTGAATACATATCGAGTGTTGGCATTGCAAGCATTGAGTCTTGTATTTAACAACAATTTCCTTAATTAGGTTAAAGCAATTCTAGTTTCAATGATCAAATTTTGTGAAAATTTATAGAACGTTTATAGAATTTAGTTTACAAAAAAGTTGTATGCGCAATGTTTGTCTTTGTTTAACAATATTGGCCATTAAATAGTAATTATTAATTTCTAAGAATATTTTTGTTAGTATGTTACATAAAAAATATAGTAATAAATATCGCGATAAAACGTTAAATTATTTTTTATAATATTGCTTATTAAAATTTTTGAGTCAACGTTCATTCGCCCAAACGAAAAATGTTGATTTTTAGTCGAGTAAAGATAGAGATTCATGACACGGGTTTTGGTGGATTTCATATGACTGACGCTTATTTTTCCATCATTTCGATCTGTCACTTTATTTGTGTACCTCGTATTTAAATAACTCTGTGCCAAAAGAGGTATTAAAAATAATAATGTGATATACAGATGTCTAAATTGTATATATTAAAAAAAAGTTGTAAAAACGGCTGCTGTTTGACAGGAGTAAGATATAATGATGTTGGTCTTATGTGTTTCGGGACATCAAAAAATATCCTTATGGTAAAATTTATGTTCTCATAATATCTTCAAAATTTAAAATATGTACATTCCGTTTTATCAATAAATCCGTTTTACCTGTGTACGATTGTCATTAATAAGTTTATTTATATTTTTAATTAATCTTTTTTTGAAAGTTTCCCAAAAAATAACTTAAGGAAAACAAATGTTATTTCTGTTCTAATATCTTGTCGTTCATCGGAGAGGTCTTCATTAGTTACGGCGATCAAAAACGCGTTAAAAGAAAACCTGTTGGAATCATATCAAGACCATTTTATGCAGCTCTACATTCAGCTAATTATAATTTATTATTTGAAAACGTCAAAAATTAAAAAATAAATTGAAAACTTAGAAAATATAAACGTTAAAATAGCTGCCTGTGACACGAAGGAACGAATTATAAGCGTAAATTATATTATTGTATCCTCCTACATTTATTCCGTAACTCAACACTAAAACAAATATAAATTAAGATCGTTTTGTTCGTTGTTTTTATGATTTGAGAGTAAAATCGATTATTGAATTGAAATAGTTCACGGCAAGGAAAGGTATTGATTAATAGATTATAAATGTAAAAGGTAAAATATTATTCCAGAGAATCGTTTGAAAACCAAAAGTTTACAATGTAGACTTATACCGAGACAAAAATGACCTATGCTCTCTTTATGATAACAATCAAAAATTCAAATGTTATAAATAATATTACAAAAGTCTTATCTCGGATGTCATCATGGACCATTCTATTTGGTTTACATATTGAATGTTAAAATATAATGGTAGTATCAATGCATAGGAATTGAGTTATTTCAATATTTCAATTTTAGGAACTGGTGTTTCATTAATAAAATATGTGTAGAAAAAAATTAGTTAGTCAATGTAATTTTTTATATGTTAAATTTTCCAAAATAAGTTATGAATATTCAGTCGTCAGATCATTTTACCTTTAAATATAATATTCTTATATGTAATTTTAATTAACGTTATTTAAATTTTTTATAGAATTACTTAGCATGCTCATGTGGATGGATATAGTTAGAGCAAATCAAAGTGGCTTACCTAGACTACCTATACCAAGTAAGTAAATGTTATTGATATAATTTTATTTGTTAGTTTTTAAACAATCAGCGCTATCTGTCAGATGAAACATAACGATTGTAGTATTATTTAGTACTTAAAGCTTTCAGTAGATGGCGCAAAAGTAGAAAACACTACATTAAATTGAAAATCTGGGAAATATTTTTGACAATAGTTTGTTATAAATATTGATTTTGTTTAACTGAAAATATTTTGGTTACGCGGCTTAGACCTTAGAGATAACGAAAGCGGTATTGTTTTCAAAATCCCAAACAAATAGTTATTATATACAGTAAACAATAAATAAAATGAACACCAGAGCCATTAGAAACATTGAATAATTCCTTCACATTATTGTTTTACCTGCCCCGTAATATTTATCATGAGTTAATTGTTTGATAAAACTTTCGCTTAAGTAAACCTTATCTGTTAATCTCTTTGGTTCATTATATATCTCGTTACATTGACTTAATTCAACTTATTTGATATTCAATAAGCTATTTTGATTTAGTGAAAAAATATAACCGATTAATTGAATTCTAGTTTTGATGATGATGAGCTTGTTCATCTTCATTTTGTACTGCTAACATAATGAAAAAAATTATTATATTTTCAGATATGCCAACTAGTCCTACGGCATATACGACCACTTCAGCATTAAATCTGACACCAGCATACAAAAGCCCAATGATGACAGTTGCTGCTGTACCTGAACAAAGTGAAGCACTAAATTTGGGCAAAAAAAGGAGTGTCAATAATGCCAACAACAACAATAATATTGATGATGACGAAGACTCTTCGGTCAAGAGGGTAAAAACTGAAAGATCGTCGCCGCCAGCGAGTTACTCCAGTGGTATGGCTGATGCTGAAGAGGATGAAAGAGGTGAAGTTGAAGAAGAGGAGGAGCAAGAAGAAAAGTTGGAAGATCTGAGAGCTAGAAGTTCCCCAAAATCTGTTCACGATCACCGAGACAATGGTTCTAGACGGACCTCGCCGGTCAACTATCAAAGTACACAAGACGATGTAGTCGAAATGGATATTAGCACAACGCTTTCTGGTAATTAATATTTTATTAGGGAAAAAATAGTATATGAATTCAAGTGCCATCTCATAATGTCTTTGCGTTCTTACGGATAAAAAAAGAATTGATTAGATTAGTAACTTATTGGTGACTTTCATCATTTATCCAAATGTTCAATCGACACTTGCTAATATCTTATAATCATAAATGAATAAACGTGTGATGTGACAAAAGTGCAGTTTATGATACCCGAAAGATCTGAACATTTTCTACTTTTTTTTTTTTTGATATTAAATTCATTTTTACGGAAGTTGCTTCCTGTGCACACATTCGATAGCATGAAAATGTGTATGAATTACTTATGGATGGATGAATTTCATATTAAAAAGACTCGTTGAATAAATACATATATTAAACGATATATTTTTAGAGACATAAGCTTCCCAAATTGATAAAACTAAATACTACATGACATAATATTTAATAAAGTCGAAAACTGATATAGTCTAAGGTTACATAATACGTTATATTGATATAACGTATATAATGAATATTAAATTGAAGAAATCAGTAAAATGTTTTATTTATTTTTAATATTTTATCTTACAGGTACGTCTGGCAATAACTGTTTGGCTATTTGCGTGACACGAAGAACGAAAAACGGCATTTATAGAGGTCAACTCACAAAAAGCAACACCTTAATGAATGGAGGTAAGAAAATGAACTTGCATTAAGTTTTCGTTGTTGTTTTTATCAAAAGACAAACTATATTTATACGATAAATAATAAATATGTAAAGTAAAATGAATTCTTACCGGTTATCGCGGGTGTAGTCTATAAAAACACTAGAAGTTCAGTCAATAAAATAGAAACGCTATAAAACATAAGTAGAATGATTTTTATTTTAAGTGGAAATCGAAAGATGTAAATATAATATGATTAAAACCAATATTTATAAAACTTTTTACTAGATTTTTGAATAATTTAAACAAGCTACAAATGTTTTATATTTTGAAGTTTTATATGTTTGTGCTTAAAGAGTTCTTTTTTTATTGAAACATAAAAAAAAATATTAAACATTTTAAATGCGGACGTTAATATTTCATAAAGATCAATATATCCGTATCCAATGTATCCGTATCCCTTGGGATTATGCATTAATTGATTTATTTGTATTCGGTAATTATAAAAAGAATTATAACAGAAATATTATATTGTTCAGTACACAATAATTTATTTTAAAAATTTAAATAATTTATAAGCTTAAAAACTTTTGTTCTCATGCGTTTTTTCATGTGTTATTATTTAATTATATAATATTAACAATTTTTTTAAAGTGCATTTCAAAATCAGTTACATAAAAATAATTACTAGGGCGGTAGATAATAAAATTTATTCAAAAGGAAAAATACGCTTGGTTACATTAACAAAGTCCAATTAAAAATGCTAAATTCTCATAATAATTCAAAGGTCGTCAATTAACTAATTACAGACCCGATAATATTACTATGAGAACTATTTAAATTACATTCAAATATTCATACCAACGTTTTCATTCAACAAAGTTGTTCTCTACAAAAAAAATTCACTTTAATATCAAATATTGTACTGAATACAAATAATAGATATCAAATAGAACATTTTTAACACAACATAAAAAGTATTTTGTTGTGTTAAAAATTTTACGACACGAAAAAACCCTCTATTAAATTGCATTATTTCTATTACTGAAAATTTAATAATGTGATACTCTCAGCGGTGTCGTACTAAAATGCCTCTGTATGAGCAATTGTATCATTGATGTTATAACCTTATTTTGTTTGTTTTAGGTTTGAACAATAACGCTAACCCGTTCGTTTTACATTTAAATGGAGATTTGTATACCGGACACTTACAGTTGCAAGCCAGCAGCAATTAAATTTCAATTGAACAGGGACAATTTGATTGAAATTTTACTGTGTGTAATTTTTAGGAGACATAAATTCTATCGTTGTTCATGTATAATTTTATTTATATAATTGTAGAAAAGTTTAAATAATAGAATTAGACTAAAACGCATTGTATATAGCACACTAAGTGTTATATTATGCAAATGTATTATTTGTAATAATATTTTGCTTAAATAAGGATACTTTTAATTTTTTATTTTGTACAATTATATTTTAATGAATTTTCGACTGAATAACGTTTAATTGGCTATTATTATACGGGTTTTCTACTTTAATTCTACTTGTTCAATTACATTTTATACTTGTGATGCTTAAATCTTCAATATATTATTCGGATCATATCAATTGATGTATGATTTATCTTCAATTAGCCAAATAGAAGTCTGCCTCATATTGCTAGAAGTCGCGATTGTTATATATTTTTTTATTTTTCCAATATTGTAACGTGCGTATGTTAACCGAATCGAAAGTAACTCATCAAAAAGGATTCAAGGTCATTTAAATGAAACTAGACGCCTGTCAATGTCCTACAAAAGTTCAAACTGCCTGTTATTTATAATGAATGTCGCCGTTGCAGTTATTTTCGAAATTTCTTTTCAAACCTTTTTTACCCTGAAAATTCGGACCAAACGTTATTTCCACACGTTTTGCCCATTTGTGTATTGCGCTACTATGTTTGCTCGTGACATCAAGACTTTTATAATTTTATTATACATTTTAATGGGAAAAGCAAGAGATAAAATTATTTAATTCGGATGATTGCATACACCAAGTATAAATTAGATATGCTTGTAGGTCATAGTTTCAATTAATTAATTAGTATGAAATGACCACACGATTGTGGTAATTGGTTGGAGTAATTTTACTCGCAATGTTCTTCTTATAGATATGTACCTTTACGACTTTTGAAAATATCAAATAAAATTATAGCAATATCTAATTATTAGTATCTTGTATAAATGTAGATTATGATTTGTTTTTTTAATATATTTTTTTAATGTAGTTCCTATTTGATAATGTAATTCGTATGTTTGACTCGTTTACTTAGTATGGCTAATATTTATAATGTGTGTCTACCGATTCGAAGATTCTGCATAATGAACTAAGATCTCAAGTACAAATAAGCCAATGTCTCTTACGTCAATTATGTGAATATGTTATTGCAATAGGACGTAATGAGACGTTGAGAATAATACTAATATTATTACTATTTCTTTTTATATACTATAATTTCAATAATATACTTAATGAGTTTGTCAATATAGTTGATCTGTTAATTTTTTTAGTGTAACTATACGTAGATATCCTTTTTTGTTTTAAATGTAAAAATTATGATACACTATAATCTATGTAGATTATAATGAATATGGTAATGGCATCATCTTATTGTTAATATTTAACATAATTATTTATAAATCACATAAGCTTTAAAATAATATATTATAGATGTAATATTATTATAAGATAAATAATATAATTAGTTGTAAAATCTAATGTTAACTATTTTATTGATAATTATGTAAATATTAGTTCGATAACAATCACTTAGGTTTATTTTAGAATTCTATACCATTATTTATTTTATAATTAAATTTATTATTATTATTATTATTATTGTAATACTGTCATTTAATTATTTTTTATTATTCCTGTATTATATAAATAAATATAATTCTTCAAAATTCATATACATGAAGGGTTTATTTCGCTTGAGTAAAAAAACTAAAAATTGTGATTTTATTATTTTCAAAATTCTGTTGTTTGTATTACAGCCTTTAAACAAACACGAATTTCAAAAAGTTATTTTAGAATAGTAACAAACAAGAGTTTTTTTTATAAAAAATTGATGTATGAGTGGTAAAAAATAATGTATTCATTAGCTGAAAGATATTTTTAAAAATGTGTTGAAGCAATGATTCAATAGAGTTACTAAATGTTTCCTAAAAGTCCCTATGATGTTAGTCTATCTCGTCAAATAGATCTATTTAAAACAGTTATTCACGGTTATAAATTAAAAAAGATTGAGTAGCATTACCTACTTCGTTTCACAGATGATTGTCAGGAAGTAACTAATTACATTTCGGATACGATATTGTACGAATAAATGACAGATTACAATATGTTTTCTCTTAAGTGCGTGTCATTCCCAGTGTTCCCCTACCAACTGTTTTTATAGTGTTATCGTAACTTTATGCAACTAACAAGAATTACTTTTTTGAAATGAAAAAAACATCTAAATAGCAATAACTAAAAATGCAAATGAAAATAAACTTTTAACGAGTTATACACTTTTGGTGCGAATTAAATTATTACAAATTCGTAACGCTTTTTTTTTTAAAGTGTTTTTTTTTTTTGTTACCTGTGAAGTTATTGAAGCACTTGCAAGACTTCTCCCGTGTTTTGTTAATATTTATTTTATTTTTCTTTACAAAAAAACCTTATAATATCCAACTATGTTGACCGCACAAAAACAACAATATGCTTAACTTAAAACTTCACATTTTCTGTAATTCTTTTTTACTTTACACGCAGTATATTTATTCTTGTCCTTAGAGTACTTTTTTTTTCGACCTACTTAGAACTGTCAACGATCCATTTTTCGTTTTTACACAGTGAACGTGTCGAAACGACGGACAATATGAGAGCTCAAGATCGAACGGTCGACTTAGCGATAACGACATAAATAACCACAGTACCTTTTTGTATTAAAGGGGAATATAATGCGGTCGAGTCCATCTTTTATATAAATTCATTTTGCCATTCTATTCGTTTTTCATTCGCTTACATAAGCAATTATCTTTTTCCGAATAAATATAATGTGAAAAACACCATGTTCAGGAATTACCATCTATATTACCTCTGATTGCTTGTAGCTTTTTAAAAATTTACCCATTTATGTGCTCAAAATCACTAAGAGAATAACAGCAAAAGCATGTATCAATCACGTACTGTAGCTTTATAATAAATATGTGTATCAAAAATAAGATTAATATTATAATAATTATTAATATTTTACCGTAGCTATTCGGTCATCTGTTATAATTGAATTATAAGCCGTTGGCTTTTTACAAATAGATATAGTCGAAAAATTAAATCTAGTTGGTTTAGTGTACAAAACAAGTATTTTTTGTAAACTTCATAACTGTCTGGTTTATCTACAAATCAAACTGGATTTTTAAATTTTTTAAGTTTGTCATAGTTTTAAGTGCACTAACGCTTCCGTTTAAATTTACTTGAGTTTCTATCATTTAGATCTTAAGGTAGTTCACATGAAAACTGGAACTAAATAAAAATTATTGTAGCATAGTTTTTTCTGTATTCATCAAGAACCATGTTGGCCGTGAAATGCATGTAGTTTTAAATGTAAATATAAAATAATAAAATAGTGAAACTTCATTGTTTTAAGTAGTTATAACCCGTTTGTAAAGAAGTTCAATCAAATGTTAATAAAAGTAACTTGAAACAACAGTTGACGCTCTTAAGGTGAACACTCCGTGTTGAGAAGCAATGATCTATTCTTTAATTGAAAAATAAAAATATTTTTCATAAATCATTCTTATATTTATACTTGTACATTTCTTTTTTGTATAGTAAATAAAATAATTCAAAATGATTCTCGAAAAACCAACAGAATCTCAAATGAAATACTTAAAAACTTTGAATTTTTATCAAAATGAATCAAAAATGGAAGAAGACGTCGATATAATTATCGACTGGTTATCAAAACAACCTCATTTACCTAATGTTACAGGTTAGTTTTAGAATTACATTGACAGTCATTTACTTTCTTTTATTATTTGAGTGTATTACAATAGAGATTTTAAGATTAATTCTATACAATATGTTAATTAAGGTTAGCAGTTAAGCTGTCACAAATAATTCTCTTGAAATTTAAATATTAAATTATATAATAATACTTAAGTATACTTACACAACTTTCTTCTGTAAATAATGGATTATGTGAATCTTTAAAACTCAAATAATAAGAATTATTGAATAATAATTCAGTTCAAAAATGATCGTGTAGTAATTAACACTACATAATTATTTATATTATATTAAAATAAACAGTGAAATAGAGATGTTGACTATATAATAAACTAAGGTTATAAATTTAACTGTAGATTTTATCAGATTTTAATATCAACACTATGGTCAATATTATAAAAAAACAATGTACACTGAATAATTTTTATTTATTTTGCAAATGTTTTTTATTATTATATTATTTTATTTCAGACCGCGTTTGGTTGAAACATTTTCATATTGCTTGCAAAAATAATCTGCTTAAGACCAAAAATCTTCTTGATTCATACTTTGTCATACGAGCAGAACTACCTGAGTTATTTGATGACTTGACCACCGATGCTAAATGGGTTGAAAATGCAATGAGAATTGGGTATGTGCTGAAAAGAAAGTTACAAAAATAATATTTTTAATATTTTATTAAATAAAAAATAATGTTTTTTTAACCCAAAGAAAAATATCACTTATGCCTAAATTAACACCTGAAGGAGATCGCATACAAATATTTCGGACAGTAGAAAACAACTCGGAATTTGATCCTCAAGCAATGTTTAAAGGAAGTCTCAAAACAATTGATTACCTGATGCGACGGGAACCCATCTACAGTATGATAATTATAATAGATTGTCAACATTTCCGACTATCATATTTACTTAGTTTTACTCCTTCGTTAACCGCAATGCTAGTGAGAAGCATTAAAGTAAGCACAAAGTATTCAAACATATTGGTTTAAATTAATATTTTATAATGCTAAAATGACTCAATCTCTAATGCTGACTTTGTTTAAAAATTATTTTTTGTATTTTATTTAAGTTTGAAAATCCAAAATAATTTATTTATTAAAAGTTATTAGAATATAAAACTGTAATTAATTATTTAAAATATTTAATCTAATAGATCGAAAATTATACTATAAATGTAAATGTGGTTATGCATATTACGTTATTCGGTCTTTTTCACGCTTAAATACTTAAGGAGTATTTAAGAGTAAAAATTAATTTTTGAGATGTTCTTTGGGAAATAAAATATCTAAGTGGCATTTTGATTATTTCTAGAATTACTCAGATAGTTGAGTCGAGTGGTTTTTCCAGTTGTCGACCTAACAGGAATTAAAAGTTTTTTCTGTTGTTTGTAGTAGCAAATGTGGTTCAGCTTGACAAATAGTTTTTCAACTATAGTTATTAATATTCTTCTATATTTCCCACTTTATTTTTTAATAAATAGAAAAAACGAGTTTGGGTTGGATTGTTGAAGGCAAACATGCTACCCTATAGTATAGCTAGTATATATTCTTAAATATAATTATGTTTGATAATATTTACTCCTTCCAATAATGTGACTTAAACAAAAATCTTGAAGTCATATTTAAACCCATAGATTATTTTTGACAGACAGTTACAATAAAATTATAATATCATAATTTTTATTATATAATATTACAATAACTATTAATATTAATAGAGAAAATTATTAAAAAAAAAATTATGTGTATAGCAGGTAGCTTAATAAAAAAATAAAATCTAGGAGTTTTTAAGCAATACCCAATTTTATATTATAATTTTACTATTTCTTAGTTTATTTAATGGTCAATGTAAATAGAATCACATATTCCCTATTTTCTTAAATATTTTTGAATCAGCAAACGCACTCATTCAGTATCTCCATCACACTACTGAGTTAAACAGTTCATCTTTTTTTATAAAAGTTGAATTATTTTCTAATATAGGAAAAATGACAAACATTTTAAACAAAATTCTTGCTACTTAGGTAATTGCATAATAATATGTTGCTTTCAGGACGCCACTCCATTAAGGATAAAAGGTTTACATTATGTAAATCCACCTAAATTTATAACCCAACTCGTAACTGTTTTCAAAATATTCTTGCCAGCAAAAGTTCAAAAAAGAGTACGTATAGCAAGTTAGATGCTTTATGTAATATGTATACGACGGATAATGTTATATTATTCTGTCATAGATAATGGTACACGAAAGTTATTCTGATCTTCATAAATATGTACCAAAAGAAGTGTTACCCGAAGAATATGGTGGTGAGGAGGAGTCTATTATAAAACTAGAAGGTAAATTAAGAAAAAAACATTTTAAAATCATATGAATGGTGATATAAAAATATTTCATAGAGGAACTGATAAGAAAATTTAAAGAAGATGATGAATTTTGGAAGACTAGACCTCAAGCTGATTTATCAAAGCGTGTAATTCAACAAAAACCCAATGAATTAGATATGCAAGGAACATTTAGAAAGTTAACTATTGATTAAGAATTTCCTTAATAAATTTTTTGAGATAACGAAAAAAGAGAGCTCGTTAAAAATACAAAATTCAATTGTTCAAAAAAAAAAAATAATAATTTAAAAATAAAACTATTTTTAAAAATTTTAAGTATAATATTCGTATTGTAGTACTTTATTTTTGCAATTTTATAATTAAATATAATTTAAAATTGTCTTATATTTTATTATATTATGTTAAATTCACATAATATAATATGATAAAATAAAAACTAAATAAAAAAAAATATTTATGAGAAACCTCTAAACAATAAAAGCTTCCTAAAAGACGATGAAACCAGTAAACAATTGTTAATCATCATATTAAACATACATCATGAATAATGTTGGAAACTTTTATCATTTTTCAATTTAATATTTTATGTTTAATATGTCATAAAGGTATCTGATTACTTTGTTGACAAATTTAATTAAAATATTACATTTTTTACTACGTTACATGGTCTAAATCAAATATATGTTGCTGCTATTGTTAATTAAATAATTTATATTTCAATATTAATTTATTACAAATTATTATGCTGATTATTTTAACATCAATTTAAATAATTTTTCGTTATTTAATATTTGTTTTCGTATAACAAAGTAGTTTAATACCGTTCCATTATTTAATGTTTATCGCAATACTATAAAATATAATTTCATATAATTATAACGGTAATTAAAAAAGTAAAACGTACGAAACATGTATTTATTTTTAATTTTATAGTTAGTTCTTTGCGGCATTCAATGTAATAATTAAGCTTTGTATGTTTTTGGCCATTACATTTTGTTAGCAATGAATGAATAAAAATATTCATAGTTAAATATCAGCGCTTTTTTAGTATAAGTAAATAATTCGTCCAAATAGATTGTATGAGATATTAAGTATTGCATTTACACACGTTGACATATTATGATTTAAAAATAATACATCAAATGGCATTACGAACTTCGATATTCGTTTGGTGTGACAGATGATATAATATTTACAGGCGTCTTTAAAAAAGGTCATATTATTTTTAAAAGTAATCGATTTGAAAAATGGCAAGAGCTCGTTTAACAAAATTGCCTGCGTTCTAGAAATTATAAACTAAATGAAAATTTTAATCAATTTTATTGAGCCTTAAATTCGATCATGAAGAATTTGATTAAAACCGGTCATTACAATTTCACCGAAACGTTGCACTGTGTCTTTCAACGTCGACACAGACAGTATCGTATGGCAATCATTAATCGTCAGTGTTTTCGACACCGTTGTTTTTATGTTATTCGTCTTCCATCGGACGACGTGATTTATGACCATTGGAAATCTGCACCGATTTCGCGCGTCTTTAATCTAATTGAATGCAAGTATTTTGTATTTATCACTTGTAACTTGTAGAACAAGCCACGGTGGACCATGTCAACTAAGTACGAGTAATGGCTGTACAAGTCCACAACCGCGTTGGCTCTTGTGCAATAGAAACAACGTTTTTCATGTAAATGTTCCAAAAACTTTACATAATTCCCGTGGATTCTCTTGGTGTTAAATTAGATACACGAACGAGCGAATTGCATAATTCTGTGACAGTTTCAAAGCTGAAACGAGTATAGAAACCCCGTCGTTTGACATCACAAAGTCGAATGTATATGCAAATTGGATCAATGATTTTTCTTCTAACATGTGCACACTGTATGTACCCTTGAGCTACAGTATTTCACTTTAAAAAATACACTTTTCCAAGGAAAAATTATTAAAGCTGTAAAAACATAAAGTATAATGTAAAAATATTAATACGCTTAAAACTACGTCATTGTGCACGACCGTTATGTACGACATTTACATTGATGTTACGTGATCAAGTAAATGTCTTTTTAATGGTTTTGTAAGAGATGTTTGATTTGTTATAAAACAATTTTTATATACATTTTATATTTCGATGGAAATTCGCCATCGAAATAATATATGAATTTTCAGTTTTTATACATTTACGAATTTTCCTCTTGGTTTGCAATATTTTTTTTTAATAAGCGAGATAGTTTAGTTTTTATAAAATTATAACTATCACATAATTTTTGGTGTGTAAGTTTTGACTGCATTAATAAATACACAGCACGTTTATCTAAATTATAACTTTATATCCTATTTTTAATCAGTATTCCGTTGTAGTGTTTCATAAAATACTTTTCAATCAAAAATTTATTTGAAAATAATAATAATACATTGAATGTTTTACAATTATATATTTAAATAATGTGCTTTGAATTAGGTCAAAAGTTAATGTAAAATAAACATAATTCTATGATATTTTATAACTTGTTTTTTACATTATTTTTAATAAACAAATACCTGAAATTCTATTGGCTTGCGCCGTTTATCAGAACATATTTTCTTTTAAATACTATTGTATTTTACCAGTATCATTTTTGGTAAGAGTCAGTGCGGTTATTTTGAACAACTTTTTCTTGTAATCATGTAGGTATGCCTAAAATGGCATTAAATATTGAAATGCTTGAATAATGAGAGTCCATTTCCTTAAAATTAAATTCTCTAAAGCTTAGTGAAATATATAGAGGTTATGGATATGGTATGGTATGGTTTAAATTATTATATATTAATTATTTATTGTATAATATGTAGTGTTGGTCACAAATATCGATATTTGAATACTACATCAATATCGAAAGAAAAGTTCGATACCATTATCGAAATTTAATGGTTTAATATATTATAATATAAAATATTTTTCAAATGTTATGTCACTTTAGCAATATTTTACATTTTTTTCACACAAAAATTTCAATTGTATATATGAATGTATGTGTATGAATAATCCATTAGAGAATAATTAAAACAAGTGGTGAATAATTTAATTATATTAAATATTTATTAGAGCATTATCGGAATGTTAAAAATATAGCTTTTAGTAGTTATTATTTTGAAGTTAAAAAAAAACATTTTTTTCTAACTCGTATATTATATAATTCGTAATTGTTAAGTTTGTGTACGAATTTGTAAAGGAATTTTTTTTAATTTGAAGGAACGTGCTTTGATTAATCTATACATTATTTTATTAGAATATTTTATACAATCGAACGCATATTATGTGGCAGATTTTAATTATAATTCTAAAGTAAGGAAATGTATTAGCAGTAAAAATATATAAAGCTAAATCTTATTTTTCAACTCAAGAAACAAAAAGGTAAAGGCATTTGTTTACATTTGTTTGAATACAAATACCTATTTTGCGTCGCACTTCCAATTTTTAAAGCTGTTCAATCATGTGTATCAAATTTAATCTCCGGATTTGATGTTTACACAGGAATTTCACACATTCTGTATATTGTTAACATTACATTTTTATGGTATGCAATTTTAAGAAAACATATCTGCAAATCAAAGTGATCAATAAATATTTATATGTTAATACATACAATAAGGTAAAAATGATCATATTTAACAAATCAAAACATCACCAAGCAATGAAAAAAATTCTTGTAAATTAAATAAATTTATTAATAACGTATTGTTCTAAAAGTGCATTAAGAGAATTATTTTAAATAAAAATCAAGTTATATAATATGATATAAGATGCTCGACAAAATAAACTTACGTTTCTCCAGCCTTCCTTTATAACAATATTGTACTACATATATTTTTTTAATAATTATTATTCTATATGAACGAATTCGTACGCTAAAAAATAGAATCTTTACAATGTTCGTTTACTAGATATAATCATTTTTCTAATAGGTACTGTAAAAACGTTTTATATTTTCATGAATATTGTATTTATTTTAAAATATCATATAATGAATGTTTATATTATTAAAATTGAGTGGTTCGAAAAAATATAATTATCATTATATTTGACATTATTACGGTAAAAAATGTACAAATAAAACACTATATAAATAGTTAATTTTACTATAATCCATCAGAAAGATAGAAAAGAAAATATTTTATGTTAACTATTATTTCTTATACATTTTATGGAATAATAAAATTCATTTAAAGTTTTATCACGAATATAGTCATGAATTATTATCATTAAAGTTAAGACAAAAAAAATGTATTCATTTAAATTATAATCATCATTATTCATAATATTTTGTCCCGTGGCTTACAAAAAACGATTAATGTGTAATACTATGGCTCAAAACAAATTATGTATCTTTTTAATCATTGTTTGAAACAAAACGAATACCTTTTTTCTAAAACAAATTAAATATTTCTTGACAATGATCTGAAAATATTATGAGATTCCATAATTGACTTCTTTAAACAAATCATAAAATATAAGTGGTTTCTAAGTTTTGAACAGTAACAATATATGAATACAACTGCATTATTAACTAACAATTATTGTTACTGAATTATCAAAAGTTGAAATAAGTAGATATTTTAACAAACCAGATAATTAAATTAAGTACTAACGTAGTATCACAAATTTTATATATTATTATTGGCTGAAAATATTCTAGGTAACATAGAATAATTATTTAAAATTATAATATAGAAATTTTTATATCACAAAATTTTCAGAAGATAAAAAATATATAATTATTAAATATTTGATTGTGACATCAAAATATAATTTAATAAAGAACTTTTAAATTTTTCATAATTAAAGTAATACTACAACACACAGTAAAAGGACTATTGAATTCAATTTAAAATTTCTCAACAATTCTAATATATACAGGGCGATTTTTTTATTATAACCCACTCAATTACTTACAGAATAATAATAATTTAAACATTTTTTTTCTTTATTATCTTTAGTTACACATTATTCTTGAATTTTTAACTATGTAATACTTTTTAAGTTCATCCCTTATGCCTTGTAAGGGGGTCAACTTTGTTTTTTTAAATGGTAACACATACTTTTAATTTAATAAAATATTTGAGTTTTTAATTTAATAGTAAATGGCATTTGAATTTTTAATATAACTTAATTCGTTTATTAGATATAATCATTTAAAGTTACAAATTTTGGAGTTAATATACAGGTATAATACACAAGATTACAAATACAGGTAGCTAATTGATTTTTTATGACATCGATATTAGCAGGTACACAGCATTGTTATTATCAA